GGGTACAAGTACTAACCCTAATTGGGTTGTACCCCTTATGGGCTACCCCACTACAGCCTACACAATGTAAGCACTATAACATTTTGACAAGACTAAGTAGGGGGCCTAATGTACGAGTGGTGAAAAGGCACCCTCAGCGCTGGAGCATGTCACACCCCACAGTAGAAAAGCGCTCGAGCATTCTGAGATTACATATGTCGTCAGGCAGCACTTCGAGGTGCTTGCTGTTAGAGATATTGAGCTTCTTGAGTCTGCTGAGCCGAGCAAAGTTAGGAGGAAGCATGCGGATGCTGGTGTAGCTCAGGTTCAGATAATGCAGGCGGGACAGCTGCGCGAGGGAAGCAGGTAGATGCGTGAGGGATGAGCAGTGGGATAAGTCCAGCTTGCGCAGCCTTGAGAATGCCCCCAAGATATCTGAAGGGAAGATAACGTCCGGGCATGGATCTGAATGGACGTCAGGTGGTGGAGAGTGGTGATGGCCGCAGGCAGCTCTGCGAGTTCTTAATACATGGTTCTGATGTTCAGCTGCCGTAGCTCCTGCAATGCCGAGGCGTCAGAATCCACCAGCCTGTTCAAGCTGCAAGCCTCCTGGAGTGTCAAGGTGCGAAGGCGAGGAAGCCTTGTCAGCACAGTCAGAAGCTCCTCTGCATCTTCTCCCAGCCCCACTTCCAGGTGCCCCACACGAGAGAGACCAGAGAGGCTGGCACCCATGGCCTCAAGAAACGGTACACGCACGGTGCCCAAGAGCAATATTCTGAGCTCAGTAAGCCTAGAAATGTCTGTCGGAGACACCATGTGCTGACTTTTTTCCAAGTAGGATAGCGCCTGGAGACTGAGAGGCAGAGCTTGAGGGGCTTCTCTCAGCAGCCAACATCCCCTCAGCTCCAACTGCTTCAGCCTGGTAAGGCCGTCCAGCCTTCTGGGAACCGATGAGAGATGGCGGCACTCGTGAACCTTCAGCACTTGAAGGCTGGTGAGCGCCGTCACACATTCCGGAAGCTCCTTGATGGCCGGACACTTCTGAATGCGGAGCTCCTGCAGGTTTGTCATCTCCGCCATGCACGCGGGAAGCTCGGCAATCGCGCACCGATCTAGCTCCAACCTGGTCAGCGAAGCCAGCTGCGTGAATGATGCCGGCAGCTGCTCTTCCCTGTTTTTGGTGAGATGGAGGATTTGGAGATTGGTCAGGCCCCCCCAAGTCTTATGGAAGGTCCAGTTTCATCAGCCATGCAAGGCTGAGAGTCTGCAGTGCAGTGAGGTTGCCAAACCCTGCAGGTAGCTTCTCCTCCCCCATGCAGTCAAGCACAAAACGACTCCAGCGATGCGAGTCTAGTGAAGGAAGCCGAGAGATGGCAAAGCGGCAGCTCCTGCAGCACCAGCGCCTTCAAAGCTGGAAGATTCCCAAAGTTTTCAGGTAGAGTGAACAGGGGGCATGAGGAAATGGTCAAGCTCTCCAAGCAGGTGAGGGAGGTGAAATGATCAGTCAAGTCCCTGAAGCTTTGGCCGCTGATGCTGAGCTCTTGGAGGCGTGGCAGCACCTCTCCTATACTGTCTGGGAGCCGCTCTTGGCTGAAGCAACTGCTAAGCTATAGGCGTTTCAGGAAGCTGTATGGCAATCCAAGAGGGGAAAAAAAGCTGAACTGAGCACCGTGCAGTCCAAACTTAGAGACTCGAGAGAGGGTAGCTGGGCGAGTGAGAAGGCATGTGGATCTGTTGAAACGAGGCGAATGTCATTCGGCAAGGAGGCGCGGATGAGGCTGGTGAGTTGAAGGAGGCTGAAAAGCTGGTCGTAGTGAAGAGAGGAGGCTTCAATGAAGACTGCAGTGAGAGACGAAAGGCGGCTGAGGTTTGGAGAGTTTAAGATCCAAGTATTGGTCAAGACGAGGATGCTCAAATGTTGAAGCTGAAAAAATGAAGCTGGTGGGTTCTGACTTTCCTCAAGACAGTACAGCGACAGCTGCTCCAGCTGAGGGCAGCGACGGAAGAAATAGTCCAATCCAGATTTGGTTATAAACGGTCCCTCCTTCCGTGCTGTGCGTCGTCCGATGCCATCATCAACTTCCCCACGTGCAGCGATCTCAGTCCAGGACACGAAGAGGCAAAGTCAGCTAGGAAGGCATCGTCCAATGTCTCAACACTGCCATCCGACAGATGGAGACGGGTCAGATTTGGAAAGCAGGCGACGGCGTTGAGCACATCGCGGCGAGAAACGACGCGGTCTTCCTTAACTAGCAGCGATGAGACATGCCTCTGAGCGAGACGCCGCCAGCGACGGTAGATGGACGCGATGAAGAGGTTATGAGCAGCATCTGCGGAGGCAGGAGGGGTCCGGATAGGAGTGTCTCTTAGGCGGTACAGCCGCTCTTCTGGAGCAGCGTGCCTGTAGAGGTGATTAGGCACGGGCGCCGTGACAAAGTTGCACAGATTGTCGTTCTCCGATGTGCAAGAAATGGTTGACTGTTTGGAAGGCCACAGGATCTTGAGCACGTCGTCCAGGAGATTGTGGATGTGGGTTTCATTAGCGTCCATGCTAACAGCCGTGTGCACCAATTGGCTGCTGAGGTGAAGCTCAACACAACCTGAGTCAAATGGCTTGGATCACGCGAGTATGATGGAATATCACGGCTTCCGAGAGCATACACTAGTGTCAAAGGTCGCTTCCACATCAGAAAGTTTGTGAGCCATCCCCGAACAGGCCTCCAGGCAAATCGAGTTTCGAGGAGCACCAGGGGGTGCTCTGGAAATGATTCTGTAGAGTGGGTTTTTACATGTGCGGCTGGGTTGGGGTGTTTGGGGGGGGGAATGGTCGAAACTCGCATGTAAGGGCACGGAGTTGGGTGGCATAGGTGTGGGTGGATCGTTCGATTCTGCGAAGTGACTGCAAACAGGCGTTTTGCATACGTGGACACGTATATTCAGCTGGAAGCTCTGTTTCGGGTGACTTGGGTTGACACGTCACCTCTTCCGTTTGGCTTCACCTCGCCTATATCGAAGCATGCCCTTTGACATTCTGTAGATGCGATTTTTATTGTGTGTACACATTGTGGATGGATAAGTAACAAATGTCTTACACTCATTTGAGGAGTTAGGGGATTTTTGTTGTGGTGTGTGTTTGAACAATGATGTAATGGTTTTATTTTTATGCATCGATTAGTGAACAGTAAGCTGTATTATGCAATGTTGTTGTTTGTGGTTGCCCTAACTAAGGTTTTAGATGTTGTAGACTTATAGTGTTGGTGATTTATTTCGTTTTGATGGTGATGTTAGGGATATATGTTTTTTTTCTTCCACTCTCCATGTGTTTTACTTGCCATGATGTGATGTAATTGGTGTTGTATTTGCAAGACAGTTAAATTGTTTTTTTAGACTGACGCAATTTTGTTTGTACTTTATCTGTAGAATAACTTAATCTCGCCGTTGTTCCCGCGAGTCAAACTGTTATAGTCACAATAGGCTTGAATGTGCCTAAAACGAAAGATAGAGAGCACAGACGGATTTCTGCACAGCGGCTTCAAACGTTGATAGCGTTCTGCTCACAGCTGCAAATGACTTGATTCAAATTGGATCTGGAGCGTCTTCACGTCGTCTACAATTAGCAATTTAGATTGCACGATTTGATAAAGAATTGACGACACAGCGTCGGTTTGAACGAACGGTACTATGGCAGCCACTATAGTCTTAGAACACAAGATAGGAAGAGTTACGAGTTGGGAATGACTCCCAGCTCCTACAAACCCCAAGAGCCGAGGTACAGTGATGTGGAACAGTGCCACACTGTCCCCAACCACGAAGGGTCTCGAAACTACCCTTCACTAGGGCCTACACCAAGTGAAATGTTACACTACACAAAGTAATGTAACTATCTTCAATATCTTGAGGTGTACCCTTTTGGCAAGCTTCGAAATCACTTGAGGCTTGACACCAAGGCTCGGGCTCTTCATCACAAACTCATCCTTGAGTTCTTGATGGGTCTGCTGCACACACCTGCGACACGCCGAACGTTCGACACAGGACAAAATAGAAACCGCGCACGACAAAATAGAAACCGCGCGCGAGACACAAACGACCGCGTAACACGCGTCTAGCGATAACTCGCTATTGACTCGACACACACACTCGACATCATGACTCAACATTCACACACAATTATAAGCATGAAATATATATTATCCCATGCCCTCATACCATTCCATACACACACACATTCACGCACACGGACAACAAGCCGAGTGCAAACCGTAGGGTTGCACCAACACAAACCACAGCCCATCGGTCAACGCGCCGTTATGGGATCTCGCGGCTTGAATTTGTTTCGAGTCGTGTGCTAATCTTCCGAGTCGTGTTCGGATTTGGGCTAAAATTCACATCGGCATTCCCTAACCCAGGGTCAACATGTGCACGTTCATTTCGTGGTGATGCGGTGCGCTAGATTCTTCAACCGTTTCAAACATATTCAGCACCTCTCATAAACGAAATGCACCTCGAAATTGGATGCCCTTCGGCGGTGGGGCATGTTGCGAGATTGTACGAGTGCGGTTGGAAATGGTATACATGTATTAAAAGCGGTATACTTGACATCCAGTACGGTTAGGCAGGGATTCTTTAGAATATCTACATTGCTGGACCTGTTGTAAGAGCCAAATCCCGTTAAGTTCCTGGCCTATTGTGCGGTACATCATTCTGCAGTAGTGTGTTCACGCAGCTTTTTTTCCACTCGAAGTTGAACATTAGCTCTCGCCCCAAGAAATTCAGACACCTTCACCGCCCCAGCTGTGGTCACTGGCGGAGCTTTATGAGCTCATTGCGGAGCTCATTGCGCCCGTTTTCGGCTCTTCCGATTAATCTCCTACAAGGTTAGTCCCTCCTTACGCATTCTTTTCCTTCACCATCCATGTTAGTGGAAAAAACTGCAATGTAAATGATGAACCCACATTCTCGGCGCGTAGGCGACGAGAGCCGTTTTGCACCTAAAACATAGCAATAGCTGAGGCTCGGCGCGAATGCAGAGAGCCCGTGGCATGAGAATCTCTGCGCAAGCCCGTGAACACGCCGTGCGTGACGCGGTGCGCGCCGTGCAAGTGATGCTCGGCGCATCACCTCATCATGATGAAGCCAAGCGGATGCACGGCGTGCATGATGTGGTGCGCGCCGTGCAAGTGATGCTCGGCGCATCACCTCATCATGATGAAGCCGAGCGGATGCACGGCGTGCATGATGCGGTGCGCGCCGTGCAAGTGATGCTCGGCGAATCGAGCATTCCTTGCTTCGCGCATCCCCGTGAACACGCCGTGCGCATGCTCGTCGCTATTGCGGGGCATGACGTGCATGAGAGGCTCGGCGCAACCCGGTAAGTGATGCTCGGCGCATGCGAGGCCTTGCGCCGAGCGGATTCACGGCGCACATCGCACGCGCGCAGTGAATCCGATGCTCGGCGCATGCGAGGCCTTGCGCCGAGCGGATTCACGGCGCACATCGCACGCGCGCAGTGACTCCGATGCTCGGCGCATGCGAGGCCTTGCGCCGAGCGGATTCACGGCGCACATCGCACGCGCGCAGTGACTCCGATGCTCGGCGCATGCGAGGCCTTGTGCCGAGCGGATTCACTGCGCACATCGCACGCGCGCAGTGAATCCGAACTTCCCGCCTTTCCTCACCTTGCTTCCCCGGGTGCCCACACTGTTTCCCCTAGCTCATCACCTCGCTTCCCCCCATTCCCCACCTCGCTTCCCCCCATTCCCCACCTTGTTCCCCCCTGGTCCGCACCATCCTCCCCCTTGTTCCCCACCTTCCTTCCCCCCATTCCTCACCATCCTTCAACCTCTTCCCCACCATCCTTCCCTCACTTCCCCACCTTCCTTCCCCCTCTTCCCCACCATCCTTTCCTCACTTCCCCACCTCTCTGCCATCCCCTCTCTGTGCCCTCCCGTCCTTCCCTCTGCCCTCCATTCCCTCACCCCGCCATCCCCTCTCTCTGCCCTCCGTTCCTTCGCTCTGCCCTGCCATTCCCCTCCTCTGCCATCCCCTCTCTGTGCCCTCCCGTCCTTCCCTCTGCCCTCCATTCCCTCACCCCGCCATCCCCTCTCTCTGCCCTCCGTTCCTTCGCTCTGCCCTGCCATTCCCCCTCTCTGCCATCCCCTCTCTGTGCCCTCCCTTCCTTCCCTCTGCCCTCCATTCCCTCACCCCGCCATCCCCTCTCTCTGCCCTCCGTTCCTTCGCTCTGCCCTGCCATTCCCCCTCTCTGCCATCCCCTCTCTGTGCCCTCCCGTCCTTCCCTCTGCCCTCCATTCCCTCACCCCGCCATCCCCTCTCTCTGCCCTCCGTTCCTTCGCTCTGCCCTGCCATTCCCCCTCTCTGCCATCCCCTCTCTGTGCCCTCCCTTCCTTCCCTCTGCCCTCCATTCCCTCACCCCACCATCTCCTCTCAGTGCCCTCCGTTTCCTCCCTTTGGCCTCCATTCCCTATCTTGATCCGCCCCACCCAGGGAAACTCTCTGCTCCTGGTCATGTTTTCCCACCCCACACTCTCCCCCCCTGCCCCACAATACTAAACCCTGCCCCACCCTCTCCCTATCCGCCCCACCCTCTTCCTTTTTTCTAAACAGTACAGGGCAATGGTGTACAGCTGCCCCGATTGTCCTGCCACGGGCTTCACAACAAGAGGCAACGTAACGAACCATCGGCATGGAGGACGATGCCCCGGGAATTTGCGTAATGCAGCTGTGGCAAATAGTGGCAACCCATTCCTCATGAACCGCCACAATGCCGCCTCCATGCCATCCCCCACCCTCTCTATTCCCTCTCCCACTCACTCCATGCCCACTCCTCCTAACGCCGAAGTAGATCCGGAGCCTCTACGAGGCAATGAAGGATCCACGCATGACAACATGGTGCCCGATGTTAGAAAATTGACCGAATGAGTGACTGAACTAGCAAGCAGGTGGGTACAAGTAGGAAACCTAAAAGTGTTGTACCCTATAAGAACCACCCCACTACAGCCTAGATAGACTATAGCATATATGTTTGACACACCCCCATGTTATAGTCACAATAGCCTTGAATGTGCCTAAAACGAAAGATAGAGTGCACAGACGGATTTCTGCACAGCGGCTTCAAACGTTGATAGCGTTCTGCTCACACCTGCAAATGACTTGATTCAAATTGGATCTGGAGCGTCTTGACGTCGCCTACAATAAGCAATTTAGATTGCACGATTTCATAAAGAATTGACGACACAGCGTCGGTTTGAACGAACGGTACTATGGCAGCCACTATAGTCTTAGAACACAAGATAGGAAGAGTTACGAGTTGGGAATGACTCCCAGCTCCTACAAACCCCAAGAGCCGAGGTACAGTGATGTGGAACAGTGCCACACTGTCCCCAACCACGAAGGGTCTCGAAACTACCCTCCTCAAGGGCCCACACCAAGAGAAATGTTACACTACACAAAGTAATGCAACTATTCTCACTATCTTAAAGTTTACCCTTTTGGAGAGCTTCGAAATAACTTGAATCTTGAAACCAAGGCTCTGGTTCTTCAAGGTAAATTCTTCCTTGAGTTCTTGGAAGTCTGCTGCGCACACCTGCGACACGCCGAACGTTCCACACACGACAAAAAAGAAAACCGCACACGACACGCAAACGACGACGTGACACGCGACTAGCGATAACTCGCTATTGACTCGACGCACACATTCGAAATCATGCTTCATCATACACACACTATTGTAAACATGAAATATATATTATTTCATGCCCTCATACCATTCCATGCACACACGCATGCACGCACACGGACAACAAGCCGAATGCAAACCGTAGGGTTGCACCTTAGGATCTTGCTCTCTCAGTTCAGAGCCATCCCAGCCAGCTTGCAACACTTCGAATGCTGCTGCTCCACCAGCCTCTTGGTCATCATGTCAGCTGGCTGCCTTGTCGTCTTCACATAGTGCAACTCAACTTCACCCGCGGCCACCATGCTCCTCGTCCAATGCCACTTCACCCTCATGTGCTTGGTGAGGCCATGCAACACAGGGTTCTTAGCAAGAGCAATGGCACCCTGGCTGTCACAGTAGAGTGGGGTAGGTCCTTGCTGCTCCTCCCCCAATTCAGCCAACAAACGCCGCTGCCACACAATCTCTCGTACGGCACGGAAGAGTGCCATATACTCGGACTCCACCGAGCTCAATGCTTGATCCACCTGCTTCTTGCTCTCCCAAGCAGTTGGGCCTCCACCAACACAGCAAATGAACCCTCCAACAATTGTCATGTCCTCTGGTTCTGATGCAAAAGAAGCATCCGAGAATGCGGTGAGGAACAAACGCCCGGGTTCAACACCATCCGCGCCCTTATGGCGCCTTTGCGCCGCCGCCGAATATTGCAGCCCAACGGTCGGTGTTTGGCCAAGATACTTGGCCACTCTCATTCCAGCTGCTACCTGCTCCTCATTAGGGCATTGAACAACCCTAGCCAACTGTCCGGTAGCAAACGCGACGTCCGGTCGGGTGTTTACCGCCGCGTACATGAGGCTGCCCACCAACGAGTGAAAACGGCGCCTCTCCTCTTCACCAACGCTCTCCTCCTCTGGTCCCTTCACACACTTGAAACCAGAGGGAAAGGGTGTAGCCACATGGCCTTCACTCTGCCCAAAGTTGGCAGCCAATGCCTCCAGGTACTTCCGTTGATGCACCCGCATGCACCGCTTCTCCACATCACGTTCAATGTGAAGCCCAAGGTAGAAGTTGACGTCACCAAGGGCCTTACACTTAAACTTGTCCTGAAGCTTCAGCATCACCTCCTTCACAAGGTCAGATGAGGGTGAAAAGATGAGGATGTCATCCACGTACACCACCATGAAGCTCCTCTGCTCCCCCTCGCCAAGCATGAACAATGAGTGATCGGCCGTTGAGGGAGTGAAGCCGATCTCCTCCAAAACTCCTCGCAGCTTCAAGTACCACTGCCTAGGGGCCTGCTTCAGTCCATAAAGGGCCTTCTTCAGCCTCAAAACTCTGCCACTACCATCATCAAACCCCTCTGGCTGCGCCATGAAAATCTCTTCCTCAAGGACGCCATTGAGGAATGCCGTTGTGACATCCATTTGTTTCACCACCCATCCTTTGATGGCAGCTCCCGCGAGTAGGGTTCGCAGCGTCGTCGGCTTCACCACAGGAGCAAACAACTCCTTATAGTCCACCTTCTCCTTCTGCTGGTACCCCTTCGCCACAAGCCTAGACTTGTAGCGCTCGATCTTGCCGTCGGCATCGGACTTGATCTTGAAGAGCCACTTGGACGTAATCGCCTTACGCCCCTCCGGTAGCTCCACCAATTCCCATGTTCCGTTCTCCTCAATGCTCTTCAGCTCACTCTCCATTGCCTTCTTCCACTCCTCAGCATCACTACTCTCCAAGGCCTCCTTGAGAGTTGCTGGTTCCCCCGGCATCTCCACCGGAGAGAAGAACGCGAAGGCACACTCCTCGTAGTCACTCTCCTCGTCTTCTCCAACTATAAGTGCCGCTCCGGCCAAGGCTGACTTGGCTGGCTTTCCCAGTGCCTCATAGGTCAGCCTATTTGGGGATTGGATTCTCCTTTTGCCCCTTCCTTCTTCCTCAGCTGCAGGGACATGAAGGCCTTGGCGTTGCTGCGGGGTGACTCGGATCCGTGGAGCACTCGTAGTGCGAGAAGGAAGTGTCGGTGCACGCTCGCTCACTTGCTGAACCTCCTCCTCTTCTTCCTCTGCATCCTTGGCCTCCTCTCCCCCATTCACAAGGGAAGATTGCCTTGTGGTGGTGCTGCCGCTGCTCAGCTCCAAGGGCAGCTCCACATGCTCCAAATCGGAACTCTTCACGTCCCCCAACCGCACGCCTATCTTCGCCTCATTCTCCGCCTTCCAATCCTTGTACATCAGATTCTCCATGAATTTGCAGTCCCTGCTCACCAAGAATTTCTTGGTGAATGGGTCCCAAAGAAGCCACCCGTTGCTGTTTTGAGCCATGCCCAAGTGCACAGCCCATATCGCCTTGGCACCGAGCTTGTTGTGCCGAAGATGCTTAGGCACGAGCGCCATGCACATGCACCCGAACACCCGAAGCATATCCACCTTTGGCTTCCTTCCAATCCACTCCACATAGGGCACCCATTTGTCTGCTCCCACATGAGTCAAAGCTCTGTTCTTGGCCACACATGCACTCCGCACCGCATCAGGCCAGAAATATTCGGGTAGCCCGGCTTCAATGAGCAACCCGCGCGCCGTCTCCGTGATTGTCCGGTTCGCTCGCTCGGCGATGCCGTTCATTGCAGGGGAGTATGGCATGGTAAGGGAGTGCCTTATGCCATTCTTCTTCAGCCACAATCCAAACTCCTTGCTCAAGAACTCTCCCCCTCGATCGGTGCGGATTGCCTTCACTAGCCGGTCTTGTTGTCGCTCCACCATCGGCAACCAATCGGTCTTCACCGTTTCAGCCACGTCACTCTTCTTGGACAGCACGTACACCCAAGTCATGCGAGTGTAGACGTCCACAATGGTGAGAAAGTACTCAGCTCCAGCAGCTCCAAGCTTCAGGGGGCCCACCACGTCCATCACCACCTCATCAAGTGGTGCCTTAGCCGTTGCCTCCGAACTAGAGAACGGGAAACGGGTGAACTTGGCTTGCATGCACGTCGGGCAGCCAAGTACCTCATCGGGCTCCCCCTTCACACGTATGCCAGCAACCATCTCATTCTTCACTAGCTGCTGCAAGATGGGCAGGGCCACATGCCCCATTCGCCGATGCAAGGTGAGCCAATCACACTCCCCCGTAGCCAAAGTCGGATTGGAGAATGCCGCACTCGCAATAGTGCCCCACATGTTCTCTCCGTACTCCTCCTCCTCCTCCGCTCCACTGGGTACCAGCAGGAAACAACCCAGTGAAGCCAGGTGGGCGGCGCAGCCAGATCTCCTCGTGCAGGCTACCCTGTAGGAAGGCTGTGCTGAAGTCAAGCGAGTGGAGCTCGTAGTCACGCTGAGCGGCGACGTGCAGCAGTACCCGAAGAGTGGTCATCTTCGGGGTAGGGGAGAAGGTCTGGAAGAAGTCAACTCCTTGTCGCTGACCGAAGCCACGTGCAACGTAACGCGCCTTGAAGACAGGCGGAGAACCCGGCGGCCGCTTCACCCTGAAGATCCACATGCCTCTGACGATGTTCGCCCCAGGCGGGGGAACCTCGTCGACGTAGGTGCCTGTGGACTTCCAGGAAGCCATCTCGGCGTCCATGGCTGCCTGCTACTGAGAGGAGTAGGGACCCTCTATCGCCTCTGCGTAAGAGCGCGGGGTCGGGATGTCTGGTGCATCCGGGTCTCCCTCAGGGGCAAGCAGCATGGACACGAGATGAGGTACAGCAGCGGCCAAGCACTCAAACTCCTCCTATCTGTCGTCAAGAACGTCCGTGCCAAGAGCACACTCACCCCCGACGGACGGAGGACAGACAGACGCAGACG